GGGCAGGTGCGCCGCCCGTGCTTGCGTGCGCGGGCGGGCGGGCGGGCGCCTGTGCGTGCGTGCGTGGGTGGGTAGGCGCGCAGACGGCGTGGTTGGGAATCGCCTTTTCGGCCGTGAGCCTTCTAAATTGAGTTTCGGTTGTGAGCAGGCGCGCAGACAGGCGTGGTTGGGAATCGCCTTTTCGGCCGTGAGCCTTCTAAATTGAGTTTCGGTTGTGGGCAGGCGCGCGTGGGTTAGGGTTTCCTGACTTTGGCCACGAACTTTCGAAATCGAGTTTCGGTTTTCAACTTCTTTTTTTTTCCTCGGGATTCAGTCTCGAAAACGAAACAGATACGTTTTTCAGGATTCCACCTCCAAAACAAAAACTCCAAACCGAACACACGCGTTTTTCTCTTCCCTTCTTTTTTTTTTTTTTTTTTTTTTTGCCCTTCAAGATACAGCTGCGAACTGTTTTTGCTTTTTTAGCGTGGACTCAAACCGGAGACCCGTACAGCTGCGAACTGTTTTTTTCCTTTTTGCCCGGACTCGAACCAGAGACCCGAAATGATTACGAAACTGAAACAAAAGAAAGATTGGGCGGGAAATCGAAAAGAAAGAAAAGCTTTCCATCTCAGGAAACTTCGCCCTTTCCCTTTTCAGCTGTCTGACAACCTGACACTCCCTGACACACGTTATTGCACAGCTCAGAATCGTTCTGCACACTTTTTGTCATCTACGGCCTCCAACGATCCACCCATGCGCCATTCACAGCACCACGTGTCGACCAAACATAGCGTTTGAGAGCAATCTCAGCTGCCCGTCAAACGACGGGCGATGGAAAAAGGGGGCCCCGCGGCTGAAAAGAATTAGTAGTTTGTAGTAGATACTTGGTGATCTCCTTCTCCACCTCCTGCTCTCTCCAAGGATTGGTTGTTTCCCACTCCCTTAAACACACCCTCTGGTTGCTTCAGCCCCTTTTTTCCAGGCTTCGTATACTCCGCCTCTCTGCTTACACCGGTCCTCCTTTCCGTCAATTTTGGTTCCCAAAGCCTTCACAGCGACAGTCCTCTCTCTCTCTCTCTCACACACACACACACACACACACACACGCATACACACACACACACCCCTCCACCCTTGCATCCTCCCCTGCCCCATGGTTTGTGCCTCCCTTTTCCATGGGGCCACCATCTGCGGATGTCTCTCTCTCTCTCTCTCTCTCTCTCTCTCTCTCTCTCTCTCTCACACACA